CAACAATGACCTTGGAGAAGCAGGAAGGGTTATTTATTATTATTATTATTATTATCATTATTATTATTATTATTATTAACCTTTATTTAACCGGGGGAAAAAACTCTTGAGACTAAAAATGTCCTGGCCAAGCAGGACAGCAGTGCCATCACAGTTTCCATAAATTAATAGCACATACACAAACAAATCCATACACCAGCTAAGTGTGTATGGATACATGATCCTAAACACACCAACAAATCTAACAAAGAAATCTGAAAAAGAAACAAATCAAGATGTCCCAGACAAGTCCTCAACCTGGCTGAAGTCCTGTGGCACAACCTTAAAGGAGCTGAGCATAAACAGTTGCCAAGAAAATCTTAATGAACTGAAGCAATATTAAAAATGATGTGGGCCAGAATTCCTCCATAACAGTGTGAAAATTGATACAGTCATACAGAAAACAATCATCTCGAGTTATTAATACTAAAGGTGGTTTTACAATAACAGGCCATACTTAGCTTTTCATAGAAATCCTGGTAAAACCTTTTTACATGGATGGAAACGACAGACACAGTAAGAAAAAGACAGAAATTGTACAGAGCACAGAACAAAATCCTAATGATCTGCAACATGTAAGGCATGGCTGTCGACACAAAGCCTACTGTGTACAATAGTACGTTATAGTAACAACTGGAAATTGAGGGTGATCCTGACGCTTGCCTGGGCAGCAGATTTTCATCCACGATCTTTTCTCCTACATCTTCCTTTATACTGTTGTGCTCTGTTTTTACTTTCCTTTACATTGCTATATCATCACATATCCTTATTCTTATGGGCAGGCTGTTGCCTGCATTAAATGTTTATCTTAGCAGCTCCTCCAACACCACAAATTACTGTAACTCTGCTGCGCTCAAGCTCTATAAAAATGCTTTACAGTCTTCATACTCATGACTTCTAATGTGCGTGTTTGGCAGGTTTTGACAAATAAACAGGCTATTCTGAATATGATGACTCACACAATGCGATAGTGCTGCATTAATTTGGACGATTAAAGTATTGAACTGATATAAATGTCTGTTTCGCTCACAGAGACATAAGCAGGCTGTAACTCTTCACACTGTAAACAATTGCACTTAGTCATTTGCCTTATTATTTATTATGAGCACATGTTTAGGGGGATTTTACATATTTTGAAAACTTCAGCAGAAATATTCGAAAGCAACTCAATCAAAAGAATATATAGAAACTTGCAGATGATGTTTGAAGCACACAGTGCTGTTAGGCCAGCATTACACTGAACGAGAGAACGATGTGTCCTTTACATTATATGCAAATATAATGGCAGAATAAAGCAGAATGCAGAACCACGTGTTCTTGAAGAGTATTTCTTTGAGTACAATACAATAAAAAACACAACAGCAGTCAGCTATCATCACAACATTAATAGTCTGTAATAGCAGCTACTCAGTGTCAGTCAACATATGCAGCACACAATTATTATGGAATTAGAAGGTGAAGAATACACCTACACAGTCCACTATTGTTCTGAAAGAATATGCATTTTTACAACCCTGGTTTTATACAGCATCAAAGTAATTCTGTGACTGAGCGGGTAAAATTTCACTTTGACAGTTAAAACATTTTGGAGGTTAATAGTGTTTTGTTTCATGAATGAACTGTTGTGGAACGTGCATGTTCAGTACTGAGAAATCTAAAAAGGGGGCCAAGAAACGTGCCAAAGCAGCTGAGAGCAAACATAAAAGAAATGGTCTAACATGAACAGAAAGCTTTTCAAATGTCACGTTCTGTACCTTTAATCTGCAACTGCTGTAACAGCGAGCTTGACCTTTTATGGGTTTCGCTGCCTTGGAAGAAAGGAAAGCCTATTTAATGAATGTTTCGTAGATATTTTAGGCTGAGTAGAAAGTGTTTACATGTAAAATGTTTAACCTTAATGAGATTATGTTTATAATTTAAAAAAAAACACTTTGCAGAAATGAAAGTTCTTAATGATAAGAAAAACAAACAGTAAGACTTTTTCTTGTCATGAATTTTCATTGAAGCTCTCCTGTTGGCTTCATTCTTGGTATATATTTGTGGCTCATGCTTTATGCTTACAGTTTTTCTCAGTCACTTTGGTGCTTTTCTCAGATCAAAATGAAAATTCTCAAAACTATTAATGCAACCTCCGCAACTTTTAGTCATTTGTGCAATTTCTCCTTCCTCTGAACAAATTGCAAATGCTCTTGGACATGTATCAGGTGCTTTCATACAATTCTCTGCCATCGACAACATTATCATTTGCTTATGTCATGTCAGTCAAAATGAACTATACTTTTGGAAGCTAAATAGTAGTTTCCAATCAAACTAATAGTCTTTATTTCATTGCTTGAGTCATTACATATAAAATTGGTGAATTAGTTTTCAAATGCTGTCAAGCAAATGCTATACCTTTTTTTCATTATTTTTTCCTGTCCTTGAAATTGAACAATTTCTCTCATGCCATACTCCCTGAGAATGAGAGGGGTGGATGTCAACTCAACAAGTATTTTGTTGTGTGGGATAATGTCCCTTTTCACATCTGGTCAGACAGTGGTTTGCAGCACATGACAGAATACCTGTTGAATATCTCCCTCCCTACTCCCCATTCCTTAATCCGACGGAGGAGTTTTTGTCTGCCTGGAGGTGGAAGGTTTATGACCGGCACTCACATGCACAAATGGCCATGGATGCAGCATGTGACGACATCACAGCAGAGTCATGCAGAGGGTGGATTCACCACTCCAGGAGATACTTTCCTCGCTGCATTGCAAGGGATGATATGCGTTGTGATGTAGATGAGAATATGTGGCCAGACAGACAGGAACGTCTGAATGTGCCAGAATGATTTACGTATGTTCAGTTACAATATGTACTGTTATATTGTTCGCATTTGTGCACAGCTCTACCAAAAGGGTGTTTCTCACGTTTTTTCTAAATACGTGACTGTAGAGTATTTTTCTTTTGCACAATGTTGTAGAATTACAAAAATCCTACACAGTAAAAATGTGAAACATACGTATTCAGTGTCTTGTACTCACTTACTTCCATAACTACAGGAATGTCTAACTTTACTGTATATTTTACTGTACATGGCTGTGCAAAAAATGTATAGTGCTCTCTTGAGCATTTTTAGGTAGTGTCACCGAGTTCTGACCTTTTTTTGCATTGGAAGACACTGAGAGACTACTGTACACTGTCCTAATGAAAACATGACAAAGCCATTTGATTATCTTGTTCATCAAGATGGTGTCAAGACTTCTCATTTTGGTGACACTGACAGTTTCATTGACATGAATACTTGCTTTTGAGGAATGGATCATCGATTTTGAGCAAGTGACCTGCTTTTGCAGGTTATCCACTAGGTTTTGCAGTTTGCACTAATTGTTTTGAGAAATACACTAGCTGCTGTGCAAATGTTAATAGTGATGTGAGAAAAGCACCAAAGCGACTGAGAAAAACTGTAAAATAAAATATTTCTCACATCCATTTTAAATACTGTAAGTTCCACAATGATAAATTAATCCATTCACTGCCGGTCCGTATCTCTGCCCTGCACACTTGGCCCATGTAAATCTGTTCATTGCATGAGGATCCTATTAAGTTCCACAGTGTTATTCCATTATTGTTATCTACTTCCGACTGTTAACAGCAAAAGCTAGGTGATGATGTGACATGTATTTTTTCCATTTGTACCGTTGCCTTGGCCTTGATAAGAGTGTAAGCATGCCAGTGTCAAAAAAGGGAAGTGGGAGGGTTCAGAGGGCAGCAGGGAACCTGATGGCAGAATTGTCATTAGGACAAGCTGGCGCTCGAGACCAGGAATCTGACACCACCTTCTCACAAATGCTACCACTTGGAGTGGCGTCTCATCCTGAGTGATGGCCTACAAGACTCCAGGCTCTGACACCTCTTTATCACTCTGGTATGGAAGCAGGCAGAGTGAGGCCCGCCAGGCATGTGGCGCTAGAGGGACGGGGATTACGGCTGACTGATGGGGAGTGCGGTGATTACCTGACAATGAAATATGTTGCACAAGCTCAAAAACTGCTCAGTGAACATATTTGTTTTCAGATATTTTATTTATTTTTTCCCAACCGTATTAGCATTTATGTCGAAAGCCAAAAAGCAAGATATGAATGGTTGGTATAAAGCATGATTTCACAGCAGTCGACTGCAAGATTAAGCAAGAGAAATAACATTTTTCAGACAAGAAGCCCCCAAAGAGCTCCAACATACCGTAAAATCCTCTCCTGGTCAAAAGCCATCGAAAATACATTTTCTGCAAGTATGGCAAGCAAATAGGAGAAAAAATGTCAGTCTTTAAATCATCTGGCTGGCTCCAACATGCCACAGGGCAAAGAAGTAAATTATGTCATTTAGAAATTTGTGGCTGAATATCTCAATATAAAGCATTTCAGCAGGATTGCTATTCAAATAACACATAAGGCTTTTCATAATTTAAAAAAATACGCATTACAGTTTATGTAGTGCATAAAATATGTATAAATTATTGAAATAAATATAGATATTGAAGAAAATGTGGAGACTTACAAAGGAAGTTTTTTGTTTAATTTCTCTAAGAATCCCAAAATATTCAGAAGGTTATTGCTGTTGTCTGCATTATTTAGCTTTTTGGCTCACTCCTCATGATGTGGCATGAGACGGGAACAACATTTATACTTTGATTTTCAGATATTTGCTGTCAGACAATCATTTCCTCTCTCTTGTTTTGACTAATAGATGTTTGTGGTTAATGATTTGCAGCATTATATCGAAAGGCTTATAGTCTACATTAATATAAGGATTATTGATTTATCTTTATACAATTGCAAATTTACATCATGTGTTCATTTCTAATTTACAACTAAGTCCTGACCTGTGCTTTTTACACACCAATGCATAAGATCATAGATAGATAGATAGATAGATAGATAGATAGATAGATAGATAGATAGATAGATAGATAGATAGATAGATAGATAGATAGATAGATAGATAGATAGATAGATAGATAGATAGATAGATAGATAGATAGATAGATAGATAGATAGAGATGTTTCTAAGATGATGACTTTTAGATCCATCACAACACAGTCTTAGTAATAAGTAATACTCTGAGGACTATCTGCAGCCACACTCTGCCACCACCATTCCTTCATACTTGTGGTTGAAAGTAATCGCACCATTATCGTGATAAAGTAGTGAGATTGGCTCCAACTTTGTGGGTACACAGCAGGCACGCGGTGCTCTATCTGGATTCTTTATACTCAGCAGCGTCTGCACTATGGCATGTTTGGTGGGGGAGACCTCAGAAGTCATAGGCGGGTTGCATACGCCATTGCACTTGTACGCTTCGTAGCCCAGAGGTTGGATGATCCATGAATCCCAGCCAATGTCTTTAAAATCCACAAAGAGAGGTGTTCTTTTGCATGACTCGCTCTTAACATTGCGACGGATTCGAGGAGGTGCGTCATAGATAAGGTTGGACCGCGGTCGCATGAGAGACTGCTGGTTTAGCTCGTCCTGTTTAGCATGGCTGTTCTTGTGATTAACATGCTCCCAGAAGGGTTCTTGGCCCCTGCCCATGTTCTCAGGAAGGTCATTCTCGTGGTTAATCATTTGGATGAGCTCTTGTTTGTCCTGTTTGCGGTCTCTGCTCTGATCATCTGAGAACACAATCATTATTGTATTTTGTTTCCCGTCCAAGCTCCTGTCAATGTCCACCAAGGTTTCTGCCTCCTCTGTGGCCTCTTGTGTGGCCCCTTCATCCTCTGACCCCATACATGCAAGATGAACCTCGAGTCTGTGAGTTGCACACCCTGACTTCCACCAGAGTGTAACCACATGCGTCAGTTCAAATGACACCCAGCTATTATCTTTTGCATGGATATGCTTTGTCACCAGTTCCTCCAGATCCTTCATCTCCAACACCTCCTCTTTACCCCTCCTTCTTCCTTCTTTCCCCACCTCTTTAGTCCAAACAACTCCCTCATGTATTTTGTAAATTGTCACCTTGCAATCAAAGCCAGCAGATGGTCTTTGGGCCTTCCAGACCAAAGTGAAAAGTCGAAGTTCAGCTAATGTTATTCGTTCGTGGTGAGGCAAGGAGATATTAAACAGCAAGGGATATATCCTTATACCCCTGGGTGTTATACCGTAGGGGGATGAATCTGAAATTAAAGGATGAAAAAGCGTGCTTCAAACTTTTTGTATGAATGTGCGTGATCAGACTTAAGGCACTCTCACTCATAAACTGTCAGGATGAAATAAAACAATGATAATTAGCATTTACAGTACATCACTTTCTCCTCCATAAGTCAAACTGTTGAATAATTTAAATTCCTGAACACAACATTAAACGTGACAAGAGTGTGCAGAAAGAAAAAATGTAAGTGGTAATATTTAGAAGCTTGTACCTTCATTATTGAAGCTGCGCACAATGTTGGCTGATGGCACAGCAGTCCGGTCATTAGCAAATCGGTTGTACAGCTCAAGCATGTACTCTGGCGGCTCTTTGTGAGCAGCAATTTGCCGGGTCTGGGGCCTCAGCTTTGTGAGGTTCAGCGTAGACAGAAACTGGCTTAGAAAGTCCCGTGCATCAACCAGTGGATTATCAACCACAACACTACCAAGTGATGCCCTGTGATGGTTCTCAGCGGGGTTGATAGGACTGCTCAAGCTCAGATGAATGATCACCAGAAGCAAGTAGATAAACCCAAGGTTGGAGAAAAGTGAAGTGATCATGGCTGAATGGAGGAAATGCTTAATTCCAAAGAGTAGACATCAGAAAGGAAGATGAGAGCCTTTGGAGAAAACACCTTGTTCCAGAGGTTTCTCTGTTAAAGGCCAACAGGTTGCAGTTGGGGACAAAGGGAAAACAGCTTTGCCCTTGTTGAGCTGGTGGTTAGGTTCTGAGGGCAGGGCTGTGCTGACCAATGTGCTGTGCATGTTTGGAGATCGCTAAAGCATGGGCTGCCCTCTCTCTCTGCACAAGGATCTTATGACATTTAGTCCACTGATATTCTCATTTACATGCAGTGAATTTAGGCCAAAAAAAGTTGTAAAATCAGAGCAGAATGTTCCATTTTGAAATCAAATAATCTTCCGTGTGATTTGGGTGGTTTTGCATATTTTTTAACCACAAATTGAATTTTACATATAGCACATAGGCTTTCATATAACTGACGCAACCCATATTTATACTTGATACTTATTATAATCTCATAGATGTCTTGTATTTATTTATTCAAGCTTTACCCCCTGGGTTGCGTGAAACATTTCAATTCGTTGTACATTCTGTACGTATTGCAGAAGTAAGAGAAAAGTGGAATTTGACTTTGACTGCACTTGCAAAACGAATTAAAAATAAAATATACTGGAAATGACTTCAGTTTTTGCCTTTGAGAGTTTTTATCCCCACTTCCTGCCTGATGTTGAGACTGATCTCAACATGACTGTGACCCACTAAATGCAGGTAATAGATTACAAATTGACTGATGTATTGACAGTTATTTTTATTGTGTCTTCCTACTGTTATTTTATCTGTGCTGTGATTTTGTTCTTGAAGTCCTTGTAAGGTGTCCTTGAGTGTGGTGAAAGGCACCTATATATAAATTCGATTATTGTTATTAATATTAAATAAAAAGTATCAGCATTTTATGGTTTGCAATCTTCACAAAATGTCTCAATTTTGATTTGCCCTTTTAAATAAGATTAAACATTTTTACAAGGGTGATGAAATCATAATCCTTTTTGTGCATGGTTTTATTTGATTTTTGTATCCACAGCGGAGTAGTTTTGTGAATTAGCCCTGCTCCGGAACACATGTGAAAAAATTCAAAATACTGTTTGTATGTAGGCTGGTTTATGAGATATTTTAAAGACTAATGTCTATATTATATATTACTTTCATCTGTTACCTGTCTAATACAGCTATTAATGGGCTTGTTTAAATAATCTTTGATGTCTTTGACACTATCTTTGAAACTATAGGCACTCTTTTTTTGCTTAAATTATTCTCCTAGCTTTCCTCAAGGAAAACCAAAGCCAAATGTCATTCCCATCATATGTAATGATATCTTGAGGCAGATTATAAGCGTCGCCTGGAGTGCTGCTGTGTTCAAAGTTCTGTAGAAAAGAGTGTCGCAAAATTGCAAACTGAGTGCAAAGCAGACAATGAGCATTCAGTTTCGGCATGCTTGGTAAACAAATTAGTGTCATAGTGTGAATGCTTTCAGAAAGACGGCTTCAATAATCACTGTTTAAGCATTCGGGGAAAAAATCTGTCTGACTAGTGGGAGGTGTTTAATCTAACAGGTGCACACTGATAAAACCGAACACGGCATAAACTTCAGTCTGGAAAATAAAAAGAAAAGCAGAAATGAGAAATTATGCACATAATTTATTTTCATTTTCATTCAACATCGCAATGCAAAAAGGAACACTGCAAAGCAGAGTTGTATTGAATGTAGGATCGCTTACTGGTCTTTGCTAATACACATAAATAACTTTTAATTAATAACATGAGTATTACAATAAACATTACAATATAAATGCCTAAATTTAGAATATTAACAGTCCTTTGTTACACATGTACAATCCCATTTTTCCTCTCATGAAACAAATGGAATAGAGACACAGAGATTGGCAAATAGCCATACAGTTTACTCAGATTAATCGAGAAAAACAAAATTCCAAGTATATTTTTGATGGTTAGGTCAGTGATAGCCTTAATCCTCCTACATGTCTCAAACACTTAACAAAAATAGTTCGGAAATGAACTTAGATCAGAATCTAACCCCAAAACCTACTGATGTGAACAACATCAAATCCACATTATTTTAGAATTGAATAGCTTGAGAAACAAGAAGTATACTGTAGCTAAGGAGTAAAATACAAATTGCACATGTCATATTCTTTGGAGTTATGATTCACCGCAGTTTGCATATTTGGGCTATTTCATATGTCATACTTAATCCCTCGTAAATTTCAGGAATCCAGTACACCTATAGCATCCCAAAAAGCCATAAAATCTATCAGCAAATAAACAAGGATACATGTAGGCGTTTGGCACATCTTATTATTATTATGTAAACAAAGGAAATCATTTTTAAGTGGATCTGTTTGTTTCTCTGTACAAGAATGTTCAGGTGGCACGAGTCCAGGTATCCTCAGTGGAAAATGTCTCTGCAGGATTTGACTGGTTTGATTGGCCGTGCTGTTACGTTTACACCCAGGAGTCCAGTGGTGGAGGTTTGTTATCCATGAGGCCCACAGCAGGCCTGCCAGCTCTGATGAAGTGCTTTCTTTCACTTATCGCCTAGGCCGATTTGCATGAGAAAAACAAGCCACAAGAAAGAAATCCTTCAAAACAAAATTCTGTAACCAAGTTTCAATCTGCTAATCCTACATGCTGTAGCAGTTACTCTGTTAAATTACAGTAAAATGGCTGATATATTTGTCAGTTTTCAGCTGCAGCCGTTTGTTTTGTTTTTTTCAGTGCACTGACTGCATAAAGCACCGTTCACACAAGTAGCCCAGCCCACAGCCCAGAAGGCTTCCAGGCATCACATGACAGAAAGTGCACACGAGAATGCAAATGTCTGGTGCTGAGATCTCAAACATTAGCACGTCTTTAACCTGTCAGCTACCTAATAATAAAAAATAATGTGATATTGGAGTGTGCCAATGTGCAATTACTGCAGACATATTTTATATTGTCACGTGGTCAGCCTCCTGAATGGTCTATGCAAACGGCCGATTGAGCACAAACAGCATTTCAAGGAGTATGAATGTCCATGAAGCTGTGTGTTACATGTGAGAAAGGACAACTATATAAACTATCCTGATGAGATTCTTCCTAAAATGTCCAAAGTGCATTTGTGAAAGTTTCTTACTGTAAAAGAAAAATGACTGCACTGTGCTCTGTTGAATACAAGATTTACTGTAAGGTGCTGTAAACTGGTTGGTTGTCATATATTGTTCCTACTGTAATCTCCATAAACAGTTTATCACAATAAAACTGACTGTGTGCACCTGACTCGAGTAACCTGAATTTATTTTCGTGTCTTTTTTCAAACTATGATGATATATCCTTCTCTTTTTCGCTTTATTAAACATTTCATCAGCTACCCTGAGAATGAGAGCAGGGCTCAAAGACATAACATTCGCATAACTGATTTAATAACTGATTAGTAACTACAGGACTCACATAGTTCTCAAAAAATGGAAAAACCGAACCTGCATCCAGAGCAAGGTTTTAATAATGCTTTTTTCTTTAAAGCATCAGAAAAGCATTAAATGAAAGCATTAAAATGAGTAGAACTTAAACATTTAGGCTTTGTGCACTGTTATCCTGTAAAGATGCACAGCCCAGTATCATTTAAAGCTCTTCTTCGGATGTTAGCTGCCTTTTGTTCTGTTCTCTGTCAGATAGATCAAACTTCAATAACGTTGATGTCGGGGCTCTGGGGTGGCCAATCCACGACTGATAGGGTGTCATTGTTGTTGTTTTTCTATGCACGTATGTGTTTTTACTGCGTTGCGAGTGTGTTGGCTAGATGAAACCGAAATTTCCAATTCAGAGTTGAGACTCCATAACTTCTGTTTCCACTGACTTTCAGGCAACTGTTTCTGTTTCCCCAACTACTTTTCTGTAGTTGGGAAATACTTCATTGTTTCCCTTCCTTAAGAAAAGCATCCTGACAGTTATCCTTCCATAGAGACCATTTCTGATGAAGGGCCAAATAAAAACCTTGTGAAAATGGTCAGGTACAAGGACTGGACTAGAAACGAGTGAGAAAGCAGCCAATGTCCAAAGAAAAACTATGAAGGCCCTTCGGAAAGCCCAGAGAACTATTGCTCAAGACCCCTGTGGCTCTTTGGAAGCAAAATATAATGAAATTAACAGGTTACTCAAGACTTCTGCACAATACTACATCTATTTAGCACCAGAAGGGTCCAAGCAAAGTCAGTGTTAAATGTTAAAAAGCCGGATTACCTGAAGAGTGTCTCTTTCCACAACAATGGGCGCCTTTCCATCTCCAATTCTATCATTTGGCTCCAAGCTTGAATAAACATCTGCAAGAGAAAAATCCTATTATATCAATAGTATCATTTCTTGAAACTGATACTGATCAGCTTCGTTTTGCATCTCCAGTGACAGCTGTAATCATTATGGTGCTGTGAGCATTACAATAACACCATCTATCCATTTTATTCCACTCCAGGGTCACTGAGGGGCTCGAGCCTCTCCCAGTAGTAACAAGGACAAGGCTATTACACAAACACTAGAATTTAACCTCACCTTAGACATTTTGGGGGCCACTAAAGTGAAGATAATTGCACACTTAGACATGATGATGTGATAATAAGAGTTTATGAGTAGCCTAAAAATCTATAACCATTAATCAGACACGTTTTCAGTCAGTGTGTGGCAGTCTTAATCTAATAAATCCCATCTTAAATGCATAAATCTTCACTCAACAGGATTTTTTTACTAATAAGCAATTAAGATAAACTATATTCATGTCAATTTCTATGCATGTTATTCATTTATTTAGTATGTGTTTGGGGGGGGGGGGGGGGGGGGGGGGGGCACATACACGCTAAAAGGTGTGTAACTTTTACCTTACAAATTTGCTTTGTGCCATTTAAAACCAAAAAGCTCAGAGAAAAACATTTAAATGCAATCATTCACTGAGAAGATTGCCCAAAATCCTCCACCCTTCACCAACCCCTAAAGGATGTTTAAGTGGTGTTTATGTTTTGCAAAACAGCCCTGAGAGAGAACAGAGTAAACCTGTTTAAGGGGAAGCTAGAGGTCGCTCTT